GTGGCCCTCGGAAGAAGGCGGCAGCGGCGGGGGCAGGAGCGGTGACGGCGGCAAGCGCAGCACCCGGCAGTACTGTAGCCTGCCAGGTAGGAGGAGCGCCCCATGGTCTCTCTATAGCCAGCGCTCGGTGTGAGCGCCTGGCTCTCTCGGCTTTCGCTGTTGACAAACGACAGCAGTTTGAATTTCCCGCTTTCCCCGCCTCTCCGGCCCCTTTTCCCCCCACTTTTTGGTTCGTACATCAATTCTCCATTCGCAAGTCAAAATGGATTTCTGCGGACGGAGAAGTACGCAATTCAAAAAGTACGCAACTCAGGCCGTTCGGAAGTCAAGACCCCACTGTATCTTCCTGAGCCGTCTGGGCTAAAGGAATGTGCTCCTCTGCATCAGAGAGTCCAATTGCTTCCCTCGAAGACTCCTCAAGCAATATCGAAGGAGTGGGAGGAGGCAGAACAGGCAACTTGGCCAGTTTCTTCGCTCTCTTAGCCTTATTGGTGGCCTTCTTTTTCGCAGGGCGAGAAGGCGGTTTGACTTTTGGCGGTTTGGAAGCATCCTTAGCCTTAACCGGCACAGAGATGGTAAGGAGTGGCTGGTCTGCCGAAGAGTCCTGTTTAGAAGCCTCAGCACGCGGCAGGGACAGTGCTGTGAGGGAGGCGCTTTCCATGTTTGGAGACAGAGTCTTTTCGTAAAGGAAAGCTCAAAGTCTTTGGCGCCTCAGCTTAATTGCTTGCTTTGAAAAATCTTTGCAAGCAGAACAAGACTGATCTTGATGTGATTCACCAAGACAAAACAAGCATTTATCATGTCCGTCTGATAAAGGAATTTTTTGGGAGCAGACGACACACTGCTTGAAGCCCTGAGAGGCCATAAACAAAAGAAAAAGGGGATCGTTGATCGGGGGGGGGGAACGCGACAGAACCCAAGAATAAACTCAAAATCAGCAAGTTCTGTTGAATAACCATTAAAGTAAGATAAAGTAAATAATAAAACAAGAAAAAAGGATAGCTGGCTAGCTAAGTACTTAACGGTTGATAGCTCTGCTCTTCCTACGTCCTACAGGAATGGCGGATAAAGAGGAACTGAAAGAAAATGGAGGAACCGGGGCTTATATACCCCACGGGGGTGGGGAGCTAATTGACTCTTTTTTCTTAAGCTCTAGAATCTTCCGGACGTTCCTGCGCAGGCACAGGATAACCCATTTGTGTGCATTCACAGAGACCACTACGAAGAAAGTTCTAACTCTTGTCCTCTGAAGATGCCGGCCACAGAGACTGGTGAAACGTTAGGAAAAAAAACCTCCAGAACGCAGCCAAACAGCTTGGAAAACCTATAACAACCATCAGATCCCAGCCATGAAAGCGTTTGAGAATACAAGAAAAGGAATTACTGACGTTTTTGTAGGCTGTGTGCACACGTTTCAAGTCAATTGAAACATGTGCCTGAAATTTTGGTTAATGGTAAAGAGATTATTTGATATAAATTTGAGTTGCATAATATTCAAACAAGGCCTGGAAAACTAATTTTTAAGGAAAATATTAAAGGTAGTATTATAAGTATTAAAAATCCCCTTTTAAGTAATATGTTCCAGTAATATAGAAAAATATTGAGTCCATTGACTTCTCCATTAAGCCAAGTGACTGAATTGGAAAGATTTCCAGAAAATCTTAAGTATATTCTTAGAACAAAAAATTTTAAAAATAAGAGACTAGCTGAGGAACGTACATGAGAATGAATTAGAGTGGTACTAAGCAAAGGAAGAATTTCATGGTTAAATATAATTCAATTAGAAAAATGGACTAATAAATGGGGGGAAAAGTAGGAGTAGGTAGAGATATAACTAAATTTGAAGAAATTATAAAAAAAGGAGAACGTAATAAAAGTAGATTGACTGATCGTTTGTGTAAATGTTAAAAAGTAATGGTGCCTGTGGGAAGTTAGTTATTCATTGATTTCTCCAGCCACTATGCTTCCCTTGAAATTTTTAAAGTAGAAGAGTGACCATTTCTGTTAGTCTATGAACTTTAGTGAAGATGTAGAGCTTTTTGAGCAGCAGTTGATGGTGGACAGTATTCATATGCCACTGTAAGGTCGACAAATGCTGCTCCAGTTTTTTTATGTACTTCAAAACCATCTTCTACATGCTGGGTCAGATTTAAGATTTGAGCTGTACAGGTCTGTAAGAATGCTTAGGCCATGCTGTTCTGGAATGGTGGAAGGATGGCTCCTTTAAAGAGAGGAGAGTTAACTGAAGCTGTTGAACCTTGCCTTTTGGACTAGAAGAGGAAGAGTTTTGTCATGCCTCTTGTACAGAAAAGAGAATAATATATTTCATCAGAAATTCATTTTTCTGTTTGATTGCAGAACTTCCTAATTCTGTATCTGTTGAGGAACTAAAGAATAGTAGACAGAAGATAAAGTCAACATCACCTTTCTGTCCCGTTTCTCCTGAGAAGCCATGCTGGCCAGGAGGACCTGGAGGGCCGGGATCACCAGGCAGACCAGGCAGACAATCCCAGATTCCATCTGCAATTCAAAACAGAACAAAAGAAAAAGATTACAACAAAGCAGCAACAAAGTAATCATTTTCTATATGACTTTATCAGTCTCTCACATGGTTGCAGAGGAATTCTGGCCCAATCTTGTTTGTAGTTCAGTTCATTGAGGTTTGTGGGCACTAGTTCATGCACAGCTCTCTTAATGTCCTGCTACAGCATTTCAATTGAGTTGAGGACTGCACTTTGCCTGGGCCATTTCAACACCTTGATTCTATCCTCCCCCTGACATTCTGTTGCACATTTGCTGGTGTGCTTGGTGTCATTGTCCTGTTGCGTGACCCAATTTTGGACAAGGTTCAGCTGTTGGACAGAGGGCCTCATATTTGACTCTAGAATACTTTGATACACAGAGAAGTTCATGGTTGACTCAATGACTGCAAGTTGCCAGGTCCTGTGGCTGCAAAATAATCCCAAATCATCACCCCACCACCACCGTGCTTGACAGTTGGTATGAGGTGTTTGTGCTGATCTGCTGTGGTTTGGTTTTTGCCAAACATGCCATTGTACAGTATGCCCAAAATATAGTATTCACTTTGGTCTCCTCTTTCCAAAGGACATTGTTTCAGAAGTCTTGTGGTTTGTCCAGATGCAACTTTGCAAACCTAAGCCATGCTGCCATGTTCTTTTAAGAGAGAAGAGGCTTTCTCCTGGCAACCTTTCCGAACCAATCATTCTTGTTCAGGTTTTTTCTAGTTGTACTGTCATGAACTTTAACATTTAACATGCTAACTGAGGCCTGCTGAGTCTGAGATGTAACTTTTTTAAAAAAATTCTCTGAGCATTGCACGGTCTGACATTGGGGTGAATTTGCTTGGAAGACTCTTGGGAAGACTGGCAACTCTCTTGAATGTTTTCCACTTTTGAATCATCATTCTCACTGTAGAATGGTGGATTTTAAATGGTTTGGAAATTGCCTTTTAACCCTTCCCAGACTGATAGGCAGCAGCTTCTCTACAATAATTGCTGATGTGTTTCCTTCTTGGCATTGTGTAAAACATACCCGAATGTTCCAGACTAGCAAAGTACTAAAACTTTGGCTTTTAACAGAGGTGGTCACACTTGCTGATGATCAATTACTCAAGGATATTTGGTTAGCAGCACCTGGCTGCTACTTGGCCTCTTAATTACTATGTAAGCAATAAGGTTGTACGTAGTTTTTCACACATGGCTTTTCCATTTTAGCTTTATTTTTGTTAAATCATTGACATAGTGTAATATGTCATTCAGCATCTAAGGTTGTATTTACCTAATTTTCAGACCTGCTAAGGACCAGATCATTTTTACTATATCTTGATATGTAAAACCATAGAATTCAAAGAGGGTGCCTGGTGTGTGTGTGTGTGTGTGTGCGTGTATGTGTGTGTGTGTAAATATATACATTTCTGAAATCACAGTTCATAGTTTGAACACTGGAAAAAGGCAAAAGCAATGACTACTGTTTACATTCTATCTTATGTGTCAATTATGCATTTGCATAGTAGGGTCTAGAAAGTAAATCTGTTGTATGGATTCGCCTATATGCACGGTGCAAGTTATAAAAGTAATAAAGGAACGTAGGGCCTCCTGTTCACAAATCTACATTAAAAATATGTCATTGGTAAGTGCCATAAATACTACTGAATGTTTGTATCTGTCTGTGTCTATTATGCATACTTCTTGGGCTTGGTCTCCAGGTTGTGAAGCCTTTCTCCTTGGTATGGAATTTGCTGGATCCCAACTGTCAACCAGGAAAAAGTTGTTTCCCCAAGCTAAATAATTCCACACCCACAATTCATAAGAGAAATCTACAGCTATTTATTATTTAAAGATTGTGCAGTAAATGCTTTTGTCTGGACAGTTTATAGAAACTGTGGCAACCCCAGACCTACTGGAGTATGCCACCATGTAGTTATGCTGCCACCAACCATTCCCTGTAAGGAGTCACACAGACCAGGAATGGATTTTAATAAATAAAAGAACAAGGTTTATTGAAACAACAAACAGGGTAAATAAAAGAATCAGGTAAATAGGATAATGTAACGTGGCATAACCCCAATCACACACATACAACAGCTTGGTTCCCACTGAACCCTTTAAGGTAACGCACAGACCCTGAACCTATCAGTTCTGGCTACCTAGAAAGAAACCTGAACCTATCAGGTATGTACTAACTGACACACAGTTGTACTCAGTCTGACACACAGACTCCAACTCCTCACTCTCCACACAAGCTCCAAATATATATACAGTACAGCTCCTCCCCCCTGATGTCCCGCCTTCTACTCCCATAGGATGGAACTTTCCCTCCAAACCCATGACAGACAGGTACCATCAGTGCTGTATGTGACAGAAACATTTATAGTAAAACATCATTGTCTTACTCGTTTAGGCTTGTCAACTTGTCAGGATATCTTAACAACAATTTTTCACATACACTCATTTAACCCATATTTAAAATGAAAGTTTATCTTCAATTTACTCTGCCCATAACTCTTTACATTGAAAACTGTATTCTTTAGGCTGCATATTGACTCGCCTGTTTTTCCAGGTGGGCCTGGAGGCCCCGGTAAACCTTGAGGGCCTGGAAATCCATCTCTTCCTTTTGGCCCAGGAAGAGAAAGTCCAGGTGGACCCTGGTTACCCTTTTCTCCTCTCTCTCCAGGAAAACCAGGTGCTCCCATTATCCCTGGACTGGGTTGCCCTTGATTAGAATAACATGGTGAAATATACGTCAGTAACAACAACAACAACAACAACAACAACAACAACAACAACAACAACAACAACAACAAAACAATGTTTGATGATGATAATGATGGTGATGATATAGCCCAGGGGTCTCCAAACTATGGCCCACTGGCCACATCTTATTTATTTTTATTATATTATCTGGGCCGCCTTGCCTTTTTATTTGGCCTGGACATAGGAAGAGGAGGGAAGGGGGACCCAAGTGATTCCCCATCTTTGCTTGGGTCCCCCTTCCCTCCTTCGGCCCTTGAAAATGTGTAAAATGTATGATGTAGCCCTCATACTGAAAAGTTTGGTGACCCCAGATATAGCCCAATCCGTACTTTCATCCAAACAAGGGGTGGGCAACCTCTAGTATTCTGGGAGCCGCATGTGCCATCTTCAACCCTGCAGGGCTGTACTCCCTCCCATAATAAGAATAATCACATGAAGTTAAGTTGATTCTTCCTTAAGAGAGACCCTCTCCAGTTATAGACTACTCAAAAAGTGGTTTACCATTTCCAAGGTGTGCTGGAACTGTGCACCTGGTTCTTCTTGCAAAATGCACTACGGAAATCAAGCTTCCAATCTCAGGACTCATCGACTAACATGCACATGTTCCCATGTTCAGACAAATATTTTCTTATGAAAATGATATTTTTCAGGAACCCCATTGTTCCCTCTAGCTGTCAAATATTTGAAAAAACAATTTAGGGAGTCTTGGGACCCATAAAAATGCTAGGAGTGCCTCAGAACATGGCAGAATTCCTCTCCTCAGCTCCTAGATGGCACAAGGGGACTTCTCTGACAATTTTTTAAAATTAAAATTCAGATTATATGGGGGAGCTGGGGAGCTACATTTGGATATTTTTGGAATGTGACCCACATTCCATTTGTTGCCAATCCTTGCCCTAAGTGAACAATGAATCAATCATGAATTTAAGTAACAGTATGTTGGCTTATTTATCAGGTACTTATGCGTACTTCACAGAAAATCTCAGTTTCATGGTGCCTTCTTGCTTGTCTAGTCATATGGAATATGGTTCAAATGGCGAACCGCTTGTGTAGAGCAGGGGTGGTTGTAACCATCCAGATATTTTTAGCATAAAACTCTCAAGAGTTCTAACCAGCATAGTTAGTGGTGACAGATTATGGCAGTTGTAGCTGAAACTGTATGGTAACTAATGTAAAGAAAGTGGGCTTCAAGATCATAAACATTATTTCTTTTTTGGGGTTGGCAACATGTTCACTTCCTTCTTCATGTATGTTTGGGCCCATGCCACAGTGGAGTGAGTAGCACCATGCTGCTTGTCCCAGGTGCCAAAATTGCTACCTGCAGTCCTGAGTTCAGCTCTGGAGAGATACACTGTCTACCCACTGTATCAATATGAAGTGACTCTCCATATGGATCTAGTATCACATCACGGCAATGTGCTAAAGAGAATATCTTACAGAAATGTAGTAATCTAGTGAAACTCTATGGTGATCTACCATACTGATATAGATTGCTATGTAAGGGCAACCTCTAAGTGAACTGATTTGAGGTAATCATCAATTTGTTTTTATGACAAATTCTCAGATGGAAAGTTGTTATGACAGTGAAGAAGTGGAACATATCGCTGATATCACTGTATTTATATTACCATGCAGTATCTGTGAAAAAAACATACCTCACATATTCTTCTACTTTTACAAACATAAAAATCCATTAAATCAGTGTTGCTTTTATTTTAATGATATGGAAAAACGGGGAACATTGTGCAAAATGTACATGATCATTAAGCAGATTGCAAAAATAATATAAACAGAAAGGTGGGATGGGAAATGGGAAATTAAGAACAGTTCTTTTTAAGAAATCCTCTTGGTAAACGAAAACATAGAATGTATGATTATTTCATTGTTCAATAATAGCTTTTAATGAAATAAATAATATTTATCAAAGATTTTGGATTTGAGCAGGAAGCCAGAATACAGTTTACAGGACTGTTGATTTTAGGATGATGGATTCCTTCATTGACTATAAACTATCACAAATTTACAGCATTTCCCCCCTTTATTCTCATGTTTTTCTTACCCCCTTATTAAAAGGCACAGCTTAAGATCAATAAATTAATCAATCAACTAAACTCATAAACATACTCACCTGGAGGACCTGGTAGCCCTTGTATACCTGGAAAACCTAAAAAAAGAATCATCAGAAAATGAAAGAATATTTATTTATTTATTTATTTATTGGACTTATATACCGCCCCATAGCGCTACAAGCACTCTCCGGGCGGTTTACAATTTTTTAAATTATACAGGCTACACATTGCCCCCCCAGCAAGCTGGGTATTAAAGGAATTAAATTGAAGCTTGCTCTATAGTTAACCTGCATCTCAGGAAACTGTTGATGAGGTAAACATAGTTATTTTCAAAAACAAAAGGTTAACTATTTTCTTTACAATCATTTCTACATCTTAAGAAAAAAAATCAAACCTCACATCAGTAAATGCCCCACAGTTTACTATCTTATCAAGAAATCCATTAAAAGAAGTTAAATACTCAACTAATTGAAGGAAAAGAATAACAACATTTACCTTTTTCACCTGGTTCACCCTTTGGTCCTGAGAATCCTGGAGGACCTTGGTCCCCCTTTTCACCAAATACCTCATCTTCCCCTGTAGTTATAACCTAAATAATTGGAAAATATTACAAATAGCAAAATATAGAGAAATTCAAAATGTGATTTTTCAATCCTCACACGATACAGGATTACATTGTACATATAGGTAAGTCTCACTGACTTCAACCATGTAAGATTGTCATAACTGGCAAAACTTGTTTTCAGTATAATCTGAAGTAATGCCATATATCTAAATGATGCTGAGTATAATCCTCAGAAACGGTAAAGTGTTTAGAGTGTTGGACAAAGACTCAGAAGAACATTAAGTGTCTCATCTAGTTGTGGACCTAGTGATTTGCCTCAGCTTATTGTGAGGATCAAAGGTGGGGAGAAGAGCCACATATACACCATACACTCAATGGAGATGAGGTGGGATACACATATAACAAATAACAATGAAAAAATAAAGATCACTTATTATATAGAGGGAACTAGCATCTATTTTCTGCAAGTGATTTACCCCAGTGTGCATTTGTGGTGGAATAAAGCTAGTAAGAGTAAAGAAACATCATGAAAAGGACAGAAGAATGACATTTCTTTGAAAAATTTAGATCATTATGTGTTTTTGTGATGATTTAATTCTTTGAGCAGCCATTTTCAATGGGGACCATATGATCTCCTCGGGGTCCCTGAAACATCTGAAGGAGGACAGACTGGAAACAGAAAAGAGGTTGCAGGGCCAGTCTACATGTGAGGTTAGGCAAAAATCCTCACAAGTCTGCACTGCCAAGTCTTTTTGTCTCAAATGTTAGATCTCTACCCAACAAGATTGAGGAGTTGGAACTTACTATCTCCCTACAGAAAATATTCGAGACTGTTGCGTTATGATCTTTACAGAGACATGGCTTGACTCTTCCATCCCAAGGGAGGTAATTGAACTACAAGGGCGCAGAGTACATCAAGCAGACAGGTCTATTGAATCTGGGAAGAGCAGAGGTGGAGGGGTTTGTGTTTACACAAACAATAACTGGAGCACAGATGTTAAAATAATGGACATTCACTGTTCTCCTGATTTGGAGTATTTGGCAGTGAAATGCCGCCCCTTTTACATGCCTCGTGAGTTTATGGTTGTTATAATAACAGCAATATATACCTCCTGATGCTAACACAACCACAGCTTTGAGTTGTTTGTTAACTGCTATCAGCAAACAGCAGCAGGCCTACCCAGATGGAGTGCTGGTGGTAGCAGGT